CACCAAACGATAAGCAGAGATATTCTTTGTGCAATCCAACAAATCTTTGGGGAGAAAAATCTAATGAACAGATTGGAGGAAGGTAGAGTTAGCGATAGCTCTGCCTACTGCTTAGGCAAACTCGGGGAAAACAAGAAAAGAGCAAGACCAGCAAAAAGGAGACGTCTGGATCAGGGATCTATCGCTAACCTGAGAAAAGTAGGGGGCGGGGAGTTTCGGCACTCAAGCGAAGACATTGTCAGTGAGTGATGTCCGTTTCGAATAAACCAGTGCAACTTTGGGGACCTGCCCGTCAGGCTGACAGATATGCAAACCGTAACAGAAATTCGACGTTATAGCCAAAATGTACTAGAAATCTACTTAAGATGCCGCATGCGACCAAAGATAGGCGTCCACAATTTGCTCAGGTTACACGGGTTTAAGCAAGAAGACCCGTGAAGGGAATGCCTGATATATGTAAACATGGCAATCAGAGCTTAGGTGCTCTGCTCAGTGAAGCGGCAGTGTACGTGCCTCTAGGGTCTTGAGAAATAGTGATGGAGTGAAAGCACACTGGGACTGGAACCGAATGAAATAGGTCAACCAGAAAGATAAGGAACGGATCTACGGGACCATGAGGGGATCCGGATTGTAGGCCCGAGTCGGATTAGCCGATCGAAAGAGAGGGTCAGGGTGAATACCAGGTGTGATGAGGCCACACTAGATTTGTTACAAAAGGGCACACATTTTGACGAGTGGAATGTAAGCAAGTGAGAAGTTATGATAAAGCGTTAGTTTGATAAGAGGGTGAAGAGTAGATAGATAAGCCAGTACAGAAAGAGGAGTGATAATGTAACAATTTTTAGGACGTTGGTGGAAGGATTGACTCCACTTGTCTCTCTGACGAGTTCGTAACTTGGTGCGGATAATGGCAAAACTCACTGATGATGCCGGCGAAACGTTTGAGAATGCATTAAATCTACTGTATGATGCTGGGAATCATGAAAACTACTATTACAGACGACTTCGGACTAGGTGCATTCTGCTAGGTCGCCCTGACAACAATACCAAGTTGCGACGAGGTCAACCCACTCCTATTAATAAATTACTCTAAAATCCTATAAAGATCACACTTTTTCTCCATTCATGTCTTCACCCTGCATAGCCCCTGGCGAACAAAGAAGCTACAAGTAAATCTATAAAACGTGGAAATTTTTAATTAGAGGATAGTTTAATTTAAGACGCCCTCTTAGTTCCCAAGGTATTAGTTACTTTTCTGGTAATCAGAACGGCAAATACAAATAAGATGAATTTTTATCGATACTGAATAGATTAGATGGAAGGTGCTAGAAAAATTAATGACATTCAAGAGTTTGTAACTAAATGTCATACGAAAAGAGTAAAAATGAGTCTATTTAGAGTCAAAGAGAAACAGGGACTTCGATTTTCATATCGTGAACACCTCACCCATAATACCACAGCCAGTGAAATTGGGCTTTCTGTCCTGTTCCATAGTCATAGCACCCCCACTTCCGCTATTAGAGATGGCTGTTCCTCCTGATCCTGCTTTTCGTTCGAGGCGCTTCATCTCGTCTACCAGGATCGCCTCCATGCCAGCCCAATAAAGCGTTTGGGCCAGTTGGACTCGCTGTTCTGCGGCTGTAGTCAACAGAGCGATGATAGATGCACTAGGAAGTAAGTCAGCAGCATCGGGCTCCCCAATATTGCTTTCACCGGTTTCGCTTCTCATAGTAGAAACAGGACCACCTGTCCCAGATGCCAAAGTGTCACCAACTGCTGAAGCGCAGTTACCACTGGTGCCTGCAGGCGTGCTGGCAGAATAGGCGTGCACGAATTCATTAGACATGCCCTTAAGACGTTCGGCTAGCTCGTTGATCATGGAAGCCGCTGACGAACAATGAGCTTCCAGTAGAGAAGTAAGCGCCTCACTTGGCCCATTTAATCGACCAAGCAACATGGTCTGGAAAATAGGACATACAAAAAAGTTGTGAATAAGCAATTACAATATAATATCACGTACATAAAAATACTTAGGAGAGTGCCAATGATAAAATATCGCTTAAGCCTTCTGGCTAATGAAATGATAGCATTAAAAAAATCATCAGCATCAATGTAAAAATAAGTGGTAATAGAAAGCTTGATCTAATCGTCCGAGGGTCAAGTCTTTCGATGCATAACTTTATGTAGATAGTGTAATATATCCCCAAAACTTGTTAGGTTGATTATCGAATATGTCAGATTTCTTTAAACAATAGGCCACATTTACCAAAATATAGATTAAACTATAAAATTGACTCACGTGAAGTTGGTGGAGATTCTGACTTCGAACTTCGGCATTTTTGAAATTAGCATTACCATTTAGACGACCAGTGACGCAATCAGAGGCAATGTCAGAGTACCATAAGTCACCGAAGGCAGTGTATGTCGATAGGGCTCGTGCAATTGGGTCCTACATTATAGGTCCACAAAAAAAAGAACTTTATGAGACAGAAAGACTAATGACTAAGTATAGACAATAATAGAACATGTTAAATACTTATGCATACATATTTGGAAAATGTCAGGTATCCTCAAACTAGATGGCAAAAGTAGAAGTCCAAGAATGACAATTAATTCAAAAAATAATTAGTTACGTGCACTCTTTTTAGTTTAATATAATGAAGGATCGGTAATTGAATTTTCTTACAGTGATACAAACAGAGCTGACGTTTTTATTGAATTCTACATAGCCTTGCTTTCCCCAAAGGTGTTCTCATCCAGGGTGGACTGCAGGTTCGACCATGCCTAAACCTTATTAACACTCCTAGCGATAACCGAAACACGACAATGTAGCGTGTAATCTCTACACGATAACCACTACGCTACATTTCCACGATCTCACTTTGATCACAGGGCAAATGTAAATTTTAAGGTCAGAAATTTTCCCATATCACATTCTGTGGTGGAATTGTCGATGAAGCAAGCATCAATCAGTTCACATACCAGCACAATATACTGCAAAAATCATTAAATAAAGAGTTAGCTTGATCGCATTTTTGCAACCTTATTCATATTTTCAAAATGGCTTCAAAGGACTTCATCCTATGCATCATTTGTCGTGTCCCTCCAATTAATAATCTGGCTTTTTTAAATCAAAGTAAAGGAGATTTGGTCATATTATGGAGTGAGGAATGGGTATTTGAAGCCACGAGGTAGAAATGTATCAAGGGAAGAAAGAAGGGAATAAGTCACAATAGTCAAATAAAAAACTTGTTGTGGTTGACTTTATTGGCTCCTCTGATATATTGAAGCTTAATCCTAACGATGACGACACTCACCGATAATGCCCAGGAATGCAGCAAATAAGCAGTTCCAATACAGGAAAGTCACATGATGACAATATAGGAGGATTCCTCGAAATTCCCTAGGAAGTACAACTAAGTTGTGAAAGCTAGCTAAACAAGCTTTAGCCTAGGCCATATTTGTTAAATCCTCTGCCATTGGATGAATTCTAGGCAGTAAAACCTGGAAGTTGTCACCGTAAGAACATTGAAAAACCTACCTGAAAAAATTAGTTGATGTTATACAGAAAGCAAGCTTAGAGTAAATAACAAATGGTCGCATTTGACTTAAGAGCCTAAGGGCAGTTGAGGTCTCGAACAAGTATCAGGAATAGAAAATGGAAGTAATTCGAGAGATGACATTTTTTACAAATAGGTGGAGCTATGAATACAACTGATATTACATTTTCTTTTCAATAGGCTAATATATAGTCAAAAACAAACCAAACGCTAAGCAAGCTACCAATGCAGAAAGAATGGCAGTTGGGATCCCAGAAGGAATAAGGTAAAATCAGACATTCTTTGAGAAGTAAGCTGAAAATGGCAAGCGTCGAATAAGAATTAATCACCATCAGATGTTTGCTAGGAAGACGTCTCTCGGAATGTCGTCTAATGGAACCAATTTCTTCGGCAGCATTTGGGCTAAGATAAATACGTTCATCAAAGTCCCCAGTTCCAATTATGTATTCTTCATAATGATTATTTAAGGTCTGAAATACCGCCTCAAATGTTTCCGGCGAAGAAAAAAGACTCTGGAGACCCTCGGTGCGTAGATCCTGATAATTAAAATAAGGGAATGACTGAGATTGTAACTTAGTAGTGGCGTATGAAATCACAATACGAGTTAATTATATGGAAACTGACCTTTTCGACAAGACGATACATGTATGGTCGAAAAAAATGCTCTTTTACGGTCTTGCATTCCACATAATTTACATCATTGTCCTCACAAATATATCGTAATAGACAAGGAAGAGTTACAAATCCATCTTGAGACAGTGATGAACAAGACAACGAAGGCTGCCATGGCCTTTTAGATGCAACAGCAAGTACAAAATCTTTAGGGAGACCACGAAATTCCAGATTTATTAAATCACGCCTCAATTGGGTGAGCATAGCAATTCCCAAAATCCAATCCAAAAGGCAAGCAAGAAGATGATAAGAATTAACCAAATCATCGGTTACTGCGGGAAAATTGGCTCGAACTTTGACAAAGGTCACCCAAGTAAATCGAAAAAGGTCGAGAGCAGTGGGAGAGACTAAAACATTTTTAAAATCAATATCACAGGTGTAAAGTGGGAAGAATGTAAATAAAATAAGAATCAAAGATTGAAATAAAGATAGATTTCAACGGATATAGATAGAAATAAACCGAGTCAAATATTTAAAAGCGTATTTAGACAAGAAAAAGCGAGAAGACTGAACAAAGGCAAATTTTTGTCATAATATGGAGACAGTTCATTCGAAAAGGAATTTGATTTTAAGTTTAAAACATATATCAAGTGTGACTCACGAGGATCTTCATGAATAGGATTTACGACATTAATTATTAAGGAGAAAGCACGACCAAAATTACGGAAAATGACAGAAGAAACTGCAAATTGTCGCTCAAGTCGCTCTATTCTGTCACGCATATCATCTGACATTTCGACCATATCTGCCCATTTTCTTATCTGATGAAAAAACTAGAAGGATATTTGTATAAGGATGTCATAATTACCTGGACCATACTCATTTTAGCAGCTGAAAGAAGTCGTGTGAGAGAAATATAAATATTATCAACGTGTTCAGTCATTCCTTCAACACTTGGCCGTCGACAGCACTCGTAAAGGGCGCAAACAAGCCACTGCAATTGATCACCATCGATTGAGTAATTATTCCAAACATCTATAGATTAAAGGTTAGACGTTCTCAAAAGAAAAACAAGAGCATGCCTTTGTATTTTTCCCAAGATTCTTCTCTTATAGCATTGTCAATCCCGAGATCTTGACAAAGATCGTTAAACCTTTTTTCAATAGGTTCTCCGTCAAAGAGACCGTCCAAACCAAGCATTACAAAGTTAAATGTAAGGATGAAAATGCCGCTTCAGATAAAAACGAATGCGCCGTTTACAACTATCACTTAAAACACAAATATATCATTCGAATTAAACGCTCCATATATAGTCAAAAATTTAAGATTTTTAAATATTATATATTATAAAATGATTTATTTTTAACTTAACAATTAAAATATTTAATTTAATTAAGATTTGATATCTAAGGCTTGAAATCCTTTTCGCTAAAATTTAGTGAAGGAAATAAATGATTCTTATTCGAAGTCAAACTTAAAATCTTTATAAGAATTCTTTTACCATAGGTTTATTACTTTTTTAACTTTTAATTTCTCATAATGTTTACATGATAGATTACTTTGTGATTACTTTGGGAAGTTTCTGACCCTTATATTACAAAGAAATTAGCCATTGAAAAATAAATATAACTTTGGTTTTATTCAATTAAACTCTTAAATTTTATGTTGCATTACCATTAATTTTGTTTAATGATGCAAGTGGAAAGGATTCGTAAATTGGTCCAACCGGAACCCTAGGGGCTATGATTGTAGACGCGTGTGAGTAGATCCTCGATCCCGATGAATCCTTGCATAGCTTTTATCCCTTATACAATAGAGGTCTTCAGAGCAGGCCACCACGGTTAACAATAATTCGCCGAATCACTAAGCCAAGAAAGTTGGTCCACTTAGTTTTTATAGCTCAACCTAGTCCACTTAATGAGGTATCTCATCAGTTGGTTGGATATGTATACTTTTTCTAGATGCTTGTTAAAAAGTGAAGTGGCTGCAGAGGACCTGTAAAATGGCTGAAGATGAAGCTTGAAATAAATGCAATTTTAACCTAAGAGAATTTTATTCCCTGAATCACTTAATTTTTTTGATCTTCCATTGTTGCCGCATGTTGTTGTATTCCAGTCCAAATGTGTTGTTTGCATGCAAAGTTAGCGAGAAGTGTGGAGTTTAAAAGGGACAGACAAATTTGAAGCTAATCAAGAATCGTCCTCTTACTTTGTTGTCCTTCTTGTTCTCCATCTCTCTCTGTCTCCCTCTCTTTAATCCCATCCAAAAAGTATAAGTGATTTTCGCTTACTTTCCTAAACTCAATTATTTTATTTAGTATTCTGCCTGTTTGCTGATTTATACAGATTCCCTAAGCTTTTACTTACCGTAATATACTTCAAACCCAACCAAGAATTTGGTTTTATACGAATCTTTCTGATGTCCTGTTTAGGCTATATATTCTACCAATTCTGATTTTGGGACTTGCAACCGTTAACATGCAGTTTTGTCTTCGTATAATTCCTTATGTATCAGTCAGGAGGTCTGCCTCACATATATGCTATTACACGAACACGA